ATCATTCATACACACACCTTCAGCCTGAAAATTTATGACCCAGGACTACACAGCTCTATGTTGTACCCACCTGCCTGAGAGAGGGTCCATCCTTGATTAATTAGCTTTATGTGATGCTCACATTAGAAATACATAAACCAAAGATGCATGAAGACATTAAGCTCGTGGAAGGGTGAAGCTGCAGATCTGGGTAAGCCTGAAAGGTTGTCACAAATTATGCACATCTGGAATATACCTGGGGTGATGGAGACGCACAAGCCAGCTGTTGAGGATGCTCAACACTCAGGCAAACCGTTATGAAGCTCATTCATTTTCATCAGACCACAAACCATGCAGGAGCAGAATAAGGAGGAGCGAGGGAATCAAACTGTTGTTTGGTTGGTTTTGGTTTTGGTTTTGTTTTTCTAGAGGAGGGTATTTTCATTATAACTTGCCGCATTTATTTAGCACTATTTATGGGCTGGTTCACAGGAAAAACAGCCCTAGGGCAGGCTTGGAGGTCTCTGTCAAATTTGGAGGTTTTTAATCCCAGGTCGGACACAGCTTTGCAAAGGGTTTGGAGAAGGACCAGGCAATTCCTGGAGGCTCTTCTCACCGATGTATTGGTCTCAGGACACCTTGAAAGCCTCAAGACCCAGCCGGAAAGTGGAGAAGCAGCTCCCCAGGGAGCACAAAGCCTGGGAGGAGGTTGCAGTGCTGGAAATAAGATTTAGCCCTTGATTTTGGAAAACCATAAACCTGCTTCCCGTACAGCCACACCTGCACCCAGCTGGAGCCCCCAAGCCACCCTGAAGCAAGGTTGCCCTCTGGTGACTTTTCCTTGCTCTGCAAATCAAGGTATGAAATGTAAATTGAATGGGATGGACTGCATTACAAACCGAAATGCAATTAAAAATAGAGACTAAATATGGAGGTGCCTTAAGGTGGTTTAGAAATCAGAGGTGGGTTCCTTTCAAATCAAATCAAATCAAATTAAATGGAATCACAACCGTGGCCCTTTGCTCTCGATGCACCCAGCTTACGCTGCACCTACAGCACCGGGTTTTCTGAGGAGGCATCCTCAGCTGATGAACCGAGACCCAGCCTGGCTGTCTCTGCCCTTTCCTAAATCCTAAAAAACTGATTTTTCCATGTTTAGGGAATTCAGTAGGAATTAAGCTTTTCCCCTGCATCACTCTCAGAGCCACCGAACCCCCCCGTGCCATCGGTGCACGGTCTCCAGGCACGGGCTGCTGCACCGGGGGGGTCAAATATTGCTCTAAGGGGAAGGCAAAACCAGTTTTTTACGGGGTACAGGGGGTTTTGAGGTACCGAAAGGTAAATAACCATCACTTGTAGGGCAGGGGGGCCCTCTCGTGGCTGTGCTCGTGGCCGGTGTTCAACACAGGGATTACAGATTTATACTAGGATGGCACATTTTGCTGCTTAAATCACTTGCTGGATCTCACTTGCTCCAAACCAAGCTCAAATCTCCCCTTCTCATGCAAACCTCAGGCAAGAAACCGTTTCCCTGAATCTCACTTGCCAACCTTTGCAGCTAAGGTAGTTTCAATGAAGATAACTCGGCACGACACAAGGCCATGATTTAAAGCCCAGCTGCTTTTCTGGGAGAGATTTCATCCCACCTGCTTACTTTAAAAGGAAAACTAATGGAATTGCTTCTTTTGACATAAGGTGGGGTTTGTGCTGGTGGCAGGACCCCTTCACTCTCCTCTTGCTGCTGCAGGATTTGCTCTGTGGCAGCAAACTCGCAGGGGTGTATTTAGGGGTTCCCACCATGCAGCATAGGGCAGCACTGACATCTAGTGGCAATAATTTTTTTTTTTTTTTTTTTTTTTTGAGATTGTAGCTGCTTTGTTGATAGCTCAAATAATTCTCCCAAATGTTTTCCCTGGGTTGAGGGCAAAGGAAACAGGGGAATACCTAAAACTCCAGCGTAGCCCTGCAAATTTGGATGCGCTCACATTTGCAGAGCAAAGAGGGCACAGCAAAGCATCCCGCAGACCACCAAAACGGGACAATCTCGCTGCTGCGGAGCCGGAACAGCAAATGCAAGCTGGGCCTCATCCTGCCAGCCAAAATTCCCCTGGGAGATGGGTGCTGGGCAGCAGGAGCTCAGGGAAGGATGCAGGAGGGAACTGCCCGCTGCCTGGCTTTGAGGAGCTGGGGGACATGCAGAGGGGAGCAGGGCAGACATCTGCGAGCTCTTTGATCAAAAGGGTCTTTAAATCACAGTGACTCGGGAGTTAATGGCTTTCACATGCTCAGACAGCCCCCTAGAAATGAGAGCCCCGGCTCCGAGTGGCAGGCAAGGTTTGGTGGCAGCGTGCCCTGCGAAGGGTTAAGAAGCAGGGGCGCCGAAAAGCCTTGGGGTGCCTCATCTTTTTCTGGGAGGAGATGCAGAGGGGCAGCCTGGGGAGGTTTTGCTGTCTCCCAGTGCCTCCGGGCTGGTTCTTAACAAGCCTGGAGAGGCTCGTATGGGCTACAAGAAATTCCAGCTACCGTTTGCAGAGCGAGCCGCTAATGAAAACCAGCGGTGCCTTCAAGCTAAGATGCAAGCATGTCCTCCGAGATCAAAGATGCGGCTCCAAGAGCGGAAAGCTGGGAATAAATTGCATCCTGTCGGAGAGACGTGCCCCGTGTCGCCTGCAGCCTTACCTGTCCTAGTTCAGAGCAGGGGCATCACCTCCCCTTGCCTCCCCACCCGGCAAAGCGAGGCCCAGTGAGACCCAGCCAAAGCCCAGTTAGACCCAGCTGAAGCCCAGTTAGACCCAGCTGAAGCCCAGTTAGACCCAGCTGAAGCCCAGTTAGACCCAGCTGAAGCCCAGTTAGACCCAGCTGAAGCCCAGCGAGACCCAGCTGAAGCCCAGCGAGACCCAGCTGAAGCCCAGCGAGACCCACGCAGGCACCTTCAGTGGGGTTTGAGGTTGGAGGAGGCCAGGTCAGGGCTCACTTTTGGCTTCTGCTCCTGCCTCTGCGCTTTCCTTCTGATTTTAAAAGGCAAACTGTGTTTTGTGACCAGCCCAGCGAAACTGCAGAGGGAGGAAAACCCACCCTGGCCACTATGAAAAAGCTGCACATTCAATACACAGCCCTGGAAAGATGTCCCAGACCACACTACACCGTGCCTGGGGTTGCTTTTATTTTTTTTTTTTTTTTTACTATTATTATTATTATTTCCTCCCTTTCTACAATCACAAAAAAACACAGTTTAAAAAGAAGAGAAGTAATCAGAGCCTTGGCCCCAGGGCAGCGCTGCTATTTAAAGCCAGGGCCGTGTGTTTACTATATAGGTAGGGATGTGGCTTTTAAGTGGAGATAATAATAGAGAGGCAGATGTAAATACATCCTCTGGTAAAGGGAGACAAGCCTTTAACCCTGTGTCCCGTTTTCCCAGGGATGCCGAGGTCCCAATTGCTGCTTTACCCTTCCAGATCTTTTTAGGATTAGGCTAAGGGCGGGGGGGGGGGGAGGTAAATAAAACAACAGTCTAGAGGAGCTGGTCCTTGGGCTTGCACCCACAGCAAGGTTAAAGGAGCACAAGCCTGGTCCTGAGTGTGTGCTGCTCACTGTAAAAGGTTTAGAAAATCCGGGTGTGGAGCAGGATATGACCCACCACCCCCAGACTGTGGCAAGGACGTGCCGGGATATCTCAGTGCCACACAAAGGACGCTCCAGAGGCCAGGAATCTCATGAACTAATGAGGAAGGAGGGCTTAAGAGGAAAGAAGGACTAATATATAAGGAGTGATTTCCCTTTCTCCATTACAGCTGGTCATTCCCTGGTGCTGAGCGGGTTCCCAGCCAGGGACAGCGTGTTTCTGCCCATCTCCCGATGTTTGCCACCGCTGAGCACATGACAGCAGCTACCTGGTTTCACAGCCCGAGACTTTTGTAGGATTTTCACACGCTGCAAGGGAACGCGGGTGGGAAGAAAACCTCAATCTGAAAGGGGGAGATCTGGGTTTTAAATGAAGTCGTACATATACACACACACACACACAGAGAAAAAAAAAAAAAAAAATGACAGGAGGAGCTGGCTGTGTTGTTTTATTCTCATAGGTATTTTCCACAAGTCTGATTTAGCCTGTTGCCTTAGTCCAGCTGGAGGAAACCCCATGTGGACCCAGCTGTTTGCTCAGGGCATGGAAACCTCCTTCTGTGTGTCACTGCTGGAGCTTTCCCTGGGGCCCAAAGCTGTCCCCGGCTAAGCCAAGGACATGGGAACGGAGGGGTGAAACCTCCCGAGGCACCTTCTGCCTCGAAGGCTGAAAGGAGATGCCCTCCAGCTGGCAAAGGCCTCGTGCTTTCCAGCAGTGAAGGGATGCTGGGGGGACTGGGAGAGGAATCCCCCCCTTCCCCCCTCCTGGTCAAATGGGAAGGTTTGGGGGGAACCGGGTGCCAGACCCCAGCCCCTGAGGCAGGACCACCTCCCCGAGCTCCTCTGTTGGCCAGGATCAGGCCCCGGCGGGCAGAGACTGGGCTGAAGGGGTTAATGCTGGGAGAGTAACAGACTGAAGTTGACACTTGGAGGCAGGCGGGGCTCCCGGCGCCTGATTGGCCTCAAATCGCATCCAAAAGTGGGTTGGTTTTTGGTTTGTTGTTTTTTTTTTATTATTTTTTTCAGTGGTTTTCTTTTTTTTTTTCCCTGCTTTTTTTTTTTTCCAGTATTTTTTTTATTCTCTGCTTTTTTTTTTTTCTTTCAGTGGTTTTCTTTTTTTTTTTTTTCTCTGCTTCCCCCCCCAGTGGTTTTCTCTTTTTTTTTTTTTTTTTTTTTTTTTCCTCCGCTTCTTTTTTTTTTTTTTTTTTTTTTTTCTCTTTCACTTCTCCTCCTCCCCCAGGCTCTGGCTGGCAGGGGAGGGGAGTGGGGAACAGCGAGAGATCAAAAATAAACCTCTTATGTCAAAGCCGGGGGGAGAAAGTATAAATACAGCGGGCTCCGCAGCCGGCGCGGAGGCTGCGGGGGAGCCGCCGAGAGCCCGGCGGGGCGGCAGCGGGGCGATGGGGCGGTTGGGGGGCCGGGCTCCGCTCCACCTGCTGCTGCTGTGTCACGCGTGGGCGCTGCCGCCGCCCCCGCGGGAAGCGCAGCCGCTGCTGCCCGCCCGCCTGCCCGCACCGCCGGGGCAGCTGGCCCTGCGGCTGGCCGCTTTCGGCCGCGCGTTCGTCCTCCGCCTCCGCCCCGAAACCGCTTTCCTGGCCCCTCGCCTCCTCCTCCAGCGCTTGGGGGGTCGGCGCCCACCGGGCCGGACCCCCCCGCGCCGGGGTTGCTTCTACGCGGGGACCGTCGAGGGGAGCCCCGATGCCCCCGCCGTGCTCAGCCGCTGCGGGGGGGGCGGTCTCCGCGCCGCTTTCCTCCTCGACGGGGCGGCTTACGAGCTGCAACCGCTCGGGAACCCTCGGCCCGGGCATCCTTGGAGGAGCCCGCACCGGCTCCAGCGCCGGGCAGCCCCCTCGGGCTCCCCCCATCTCCCCCCCGCCGGGCCCGGGGGGCCGCCCCGCCGAGCCAAGCGCTTCGTCTCCCAGGCGCGGTACGTGGAGACGCTGCTGGTGGCTGATGCCTCCATGGTGCGCTTCTACGGGGAAGATGTGGAGGTAAGGGCTGGAGGTGTCCTCTGACCACCCCCCCCCCCGACCCCTTCATCACTCCTCTCCCCATCCCTCCCATCCCCGCTGCACCCCATCCCTCCCATCCCCGCTGCACCCCATCCCTCCCATCCCCGCTGCACCCCATCCCTCCCATCCCCTCCATTCCTCCCGTCCCAATCCCTCCCATCCCCACCACCCCCCCATCCTTCCCTCCGCACCCCCAGCCCCCTGATTCTGCCTCCCCCCTTTCCTACCCGGCCCCCACAGGAACAAGGAGCCCCGGGACCACCTTGGGTGAGCGAGTACAGAGCGGGGGACCTTGGCTCTGTCCCCACCCTTCCTTGGTGCGTAGGGGCGGTAAATCCCCGGAGCAGAGGCTGCAGGGTTGATTTCTGGGGTTCACTCAGATTTTGGAGCCCCTTTCCCAGACCCAGCGTCCATCCCCGGGAGCCTTTGTCCGTGCAGGCTGGGCACCGCCGTGTCCCATCGGCCTGGTGTCCCCATAGGTGAGGGACAGAGGGGGTTAATGCCTTTTTTTTTTTTTTGCTGCAGGGAAAGGGCTTTGCTGCAAAGCGATGGGCTTAACTCCCTTCCGGAGAAGTGCTTGGGCCAAATAGTAAATAAACCAGGGGCTGAGTAATGCGCCGTCCCGCTCCTGAGCCACCTGTTAGCAGCCGAGCAGATGCGCGAACACCCCTTTCCCCCAGCACCCCGCTGCCAAAAATGCTCCCCCCTCCTTCAACGCGCTGCAGCTGCGGAGACCCTGCCCAAGGCTGGGCTTTGTGGGGACCCCCAGGAGCGGGGAGTCCCGGCCTTTTGCCCCCCCCCCCCCCCCAATCCCTCTCCGGCGCTGTTGCCCTGCCGCTTTTATCGGCCCCGGGTTATTTTTCATGCTTCTTGCAAAGCCAGCTCCCCACCGCCGTGCTCCCTGCAGCAACGGGTTGTTCGGGTCCTGGGGACTAAATTCAGGCTTGCAGGATCTGAAACGCCCTGGGGGTCTTCGCGAGGGATAACTGTGCACCGAAGTGGCTCGTCCTCTGCGCTGGGTTGGTGGGGTACGGGGGGGGGGGGGGCTGCTCGAGGAGTCCTTGAAGCTGGAGCTCAGGGGGGAGCAGTCGGGCAGCTGAAAGCAGGGGCTGCGCTTCGGCAGCCTGGCTTTGCCATTTCTGCCCGCTTTATCCTTCCCCTGGGGGCTTCACCCAGCTTCTCCGCTCCTAATAAAGCAGTGTTTTAATTCCAGCCCTGCTCAGGCAAGGCCAGACCTTGAGAAATGCTAAAGCTTGGAGCTCCAGCTGATTTCAGCTGCTCAGCATCACTCAGGTTTTGCCCCTTGCTAGGTTTTGCTCACGTGCCACCCAGCCAGGTTGGCAGGAACAGGTAGCAGGGGGTCAAGGAGTGATGGATGCTGCACTTAGAGACAAACCCCCCCTCCCAGAGCTCACAGGAGTCAAAAATAGAGTTTGCAATGCAGTAACCTGAATTTTTAAGCAACAGGAATATAAGTGGTGGTGGAAACGACTCTCCCCATAGTGTGAAGCTGATCTCTGATTCCCCAAGAGGACAGGAAAAAGTTTGTTGCATCTTCTGCAGCCAGCTGGGCACCCCCTGCTACAGATAAGGTGATAGATATATTTTGAGGTGGGGGGAATCCTGATAATGCCCAGTTTGAGCTGGGGGAAAATGATGCTGCCCCGGAGATGCTTGACAGCTCCCTCCTCAGTTATCAGGGAGTTTCCAGTCTGCTTGGCTCCCGTTTTACCACCAGTTCTTTGTCCCCAAGAGTTATATCTTTGCATCATCTCTCAGGGTATTTCTAGATGGGAAGGAAGCCTTTAAAGATCTCATTTCGGATGAACAGAGCAAAGGCGTATTTAAGTATTTGGGAGAAAACTTCAACCAGCTCCCCTGTAGCAGTTACCAAAAAAAAAAAAAAAAAAAAAAAAAAAAAAGCCACCTGCTGTGTTTGCCTTTTGTTCTCAGCAACAAAAATGCAGGGAGAAGCACAGTTGCTGCCAACTCAGGAGACCAAATAGCTATCTCACTTCTCCCTAAATACCTGCATTTTGTGGGCCAAAAAAAGTGATGGCTTGCTCATGCTGGTGAGATCTTAGAGAGCTGGCTAGGGGATGCCTAGGGAGCAGAAATGTTGAGTCAGAAGAAACCATATTGATATAGTGACTTGTCTTCCTGTAACCACACTTTAATTTCCAAATATTTATTAAAGGTCACAAGCATTGTTTGTATTCCCAGTTATTTTCTTGCATAAGCTGTAACAACTCGAGTGGAAGATAGTCACCCTAAGATGCGTTCAAGCGTTGCAAGTTGTAATCAATGTCATGCTGCTGTTAGGAAAATGCTATTAATGATTTATTTCTAATCAATCCAAGACTTATAGCTCAGCTGTTAACCTAATTTAGATAACAAGAGCTTCGTTCTACCTCCATCAATACTCATGTAAAGCAGGAGGAAATGATTAACTGAGAGCAGAACCAGACCTGAAATATGGGGGGTTTAATCATTCTTCTGGCGTGATGCTTGCAGGAATTGGGGCATTTTGGGGGGCATTAGCGGTGGGACAGTGCTGAGCAATAACACCTGTGAGTAGCCAGCAGGTTGTGGAGGACTTGGCAGGATGAGACCTGAAGGGATTAGCAAGAGCCTGCTTATATATAGGGATGGGTGTGAGGCCCCAGGCTGGACACACAAGTTGTCCTTTGTGTTTTTTCTGAAGAGGACCCAAAAATACTTGAAAAAAGAGGGAACAAAACAAAACAAACCCAACAGACAAGAGGGTGAGCATCACCAATGGAATTAAGCGGGGGGGTTTGAGTATGGGAAACTGAGGCAGGAGACAGCGCAGGGACTAATCCCTCTGAAAGGGCATTTGGGCTGAGCACCTGCAGCGGAGGCTGCACTTGCAGAGATGCTCAGCAAGGCTCGGGGGACGCTTGCCGAGACACCTAAAGCAACAGGCGGTTACAAAAAAACCGGCCGCAGCCTCTCCAGCCAGTTGGCAGCAGAATCAGATTCCTGCGGTGGGATTTCTCCAGTCTCTCGGGTGCAGATGAGACGCGTTTCCAAGCTTTCTGCTGCAAACATGATGGCTACGATCCCCTTTTTTTTCCCCCTTGCTCTTGTGAGCAAGAAATCTGCGGTCCCTGATGCCAGGAGCTAGTAATGACCGAGGACTAGGGCAAAATCAGATTAGTCTGATTAAATTGGGATTCTTCGCCTGACTTCTGTGCTTTTTCCAAGCAGATTTATGAGGTTTTAGGGTGCTGTTGCAATCCCTTCCCTCTAAGACCAGACGGGTGCTGGAGTGTGCGGCACGGGGCATCGCTGGGGTCCCACTGCCAGCTCTCCCACACCTGGATTGACTGACAAAGTGACCTTGGTGGCAAAACCAAAGCCACCCCGGAGCCTCAGGTCCCCTCATGTCCGGCTCCTAGGCTCGCTTTAGGATATTTTGCAGCTTGAGCCGGTGAGTTTGCTTAATCCCTTGACAAAAGGAGCCGGCCCATCCCAAAGGCAACCGGCGTGGGATTAAAGGGGATCTTTGCAAAGCAAAGGGGGATCTGCGCTGGTGCTGCCATCCGCCAGCATCGCTGGTGTTTTTCCTCTGGGGCTCATCCCCCGAGCCTGCGCCCGCTTTGGTGCCCGGGGGTCGGAGGACCGAGCAGCCTCCCTAAATCTCCCCCCGGCCCAGGCGCTCGCTCCCTCGCTTCGCCCCGTAATGTCAAACAGCTGCTGCGTCTCAGCCCCGCCGCTGGCGCGGTGACCGCCGATTATCAAGGGCTTTCGGTATGAAAGGCGCAGCGCGAGGGGAGCCGGCTCCCACCCAAACAGCCCAGGAGGCTCTCGAGGTGGGGTTTTTGCTTCGTGTTCCGCCGTGCCTGCAAAGAGGTGGTGGCAGCCCTGCCCGTGCCTCAGTTTCCCCAGCCCTGCAAAGGGCTAACCGCTTCTTTTGCGGGTCAAAATATCCAGCAAAGAGAGAAAGAGAAGGGGGGCGGGGGGGGAAATGATACAGCAAACAGAAAAGGGATGAGGCGCAGAGCTGGGAAGGCAGGAGGGCAGCCAGGCACACCGGCAGGCTGGCAAGGTGTCCCCGCCTCGCCTCCGGCTTGCCCCCCATTTCCCTTGGCTGCCACCCACATTTTTGCAAGGAAATTCTTGGCCCGGGCTTTAAACCGCAGGAGGAGGCTGGCAGGGCGGCCGCTGGCCGCTGCGGGTACCCGAGCCGGGAGGCCAGCACGCAGACATCGCTTCAGGGGAGAGAGACAGGCTGGGATATGTTTTTACCAAGTTGTTTTTTAAAAGTTGGGCAGCCCTTGCATCTGACCCCGTGTTTTCTTCCTTCCATCTGTTTGCGCTCCAGAAATCTCTGTGTTTCGTGGTTGTTTTCCTCCCCCCCCCCCCCCCACACAGAAATGCTGACTTCTAGGGAGAAAGGAGAGGAAAAAAACCCAAAAAATCAACAAGATCCAAACCCAACAACCCTCTGAACCAACAAACAAGCCTAGAGCCCCAGGTCAGGTTGAGCATTAATCTCTGTGAGCTGAGGAACGTGTCAGAGGGAGGCGAGTTGTGCCGGGGTGTTGCACGGGTGCTCCCTGCCATCCTCCTGCACTGGGTGGGTCCGACAATATTAGATCATTACGCACATACCACAATAATAGTTAGTGTCTGTGCAAGAGCAGTTCCTCCCCCCCCCCCAACCTCCGCCCCCAAATAATAATAATAATTTAAAAAGAAACCAAAACAGTTTGAGGTTCCCGCGAAGGAGAACGTAAGTAGAGATTTTGCAAGAGCTTGTGTCAGAAAGTGAAATCCTTCAATGTTATCAGGTTAAAAACAAACACTTCAGTTCCCCTTGCTCTGATTTGTGTTTATTTTTTTCCCTGGCTAACCCTTGGCACATGCTGCTTGCTGGTGAGCGCCTGGCTCTCCTAGAAGCTGCTGTGATGCAGGTGTGTCGGACAAAAGGCATCCCCCCTTCATTTTGTGGGGGGAAACGGGTGGAATTTGATCTTCTTGAGACCATAGGGAACCAAGGATGGCAGCTGGGGGGGAAGAAAGGAGGAGGAGGTTTTGGGGGGCATCGCTGGGCAGTGGAAACCCCTGTGCTGCCTCTGCAGCAGGGTGGCTCGGCTGTGATGCTCGTGCCTGGCCATAAAACAGCACGTGGGGCAGAGGAGAGATGCTCCCGCAATCCTTTTGGGCTTAGGCTGGTGTCCTCTCCCCACCCCGAGCAGGTAAGGGGCTGATTTTTTCCAGCTGTATTTACCAGTTGGACAGAAATCCCTGCCAAGATCGCCCGGGATGCTGGTTGGAAACGGCGGGGAAGCGCCTTGCAGCAGAAACCAGTTTGTGTGTGCCTCTGGGCTCCCCCCAAACCGGCCCTATGGCTGCCCCATGGTTGATCCAGATACCCACGTCCTCAGCCTCAACGCTGGGAAGGAGACCCCGGAGAAGGAGATGTTCCCTCCTGGGTGGCTCGTCAAGCCAGAGCCTGTTCGCAAAGGCACGGGGAGGACGGGACGAGCGGGATTCAACTCGTCCGCAGCCGGCTGTTGGTCAAAAGAGCTCAGTCAGCCTCTCCTGAGCCCTGGGGATCCCGTAATTTGCTTTTGGCCCCAGCTCCAAACCCTTGGCCAAGCCAAGGCGGTGCAGGTGGATCGCTGCTCTCCCCAGAGCAGCCAGGGTCCATCTGAAACCCAACCAACTCCCGCACGGTCCAGGGATGGGTATAAATAGACACCAGATGGTGGAACAAGTGAATTTGACCTTTTAATCTGCACTAAAGAGCTGTTTGTTCGGTTCGCTTTCCGTCTTCGCTTTCCAGGCAAAGGGAAGGCGGATGGATGTTTTCCAAGTCCCTCCATTCCTGCTGCTGAAAGAGTTTCTTGGCTGGATGTAACCTCGAGGATGCGAGGGTCGGTGTCCCGGGGGGATTTGCGGTAGGGACAGAGAGCTCCCAGGTAACAACTACCAGAATGGAGAGAAACCTGTAAAGGGTTGGAAAAAGACGGGGCAGGATTTGCTCCCTTGGAAATGATGGATGATCCCATGATGCGCAGCTCCAGCGTAGAGCATCCTTCTAGGTCTTCTCGCGCATCATTTTAGGAAGGCTTTGTGGTATTTTTAGGAAGGTTCCCAATGGACTTTCCCCATGGGGTAAACACTTCCCCCTGGAGCAACGACTCGTGGAGATCTCGCCTGGTTTTCTTGCCTCGGCGGTGACTTCTCCGTGACATTTGTTGCATGCTTTGGGCTGGGATGTGAGTCATGTCACAGAGATCTGGCCAGTCTAAATAAACTAGTCTATTCAGTGCTCCCATCATCCTTGCCGGGGCCTGCCCTTGGATAATGAGCCGGGGAGGACTTGGGATATGTCTTGCTGAAGCGAAACATCTGTTTACGCGGAGCTGCCAGTGACGGGATAAAATGTGGCAGAATAATTTAAGATAGCCACAACTGCCCTAGGTGAGTGGCTCTTGGTGCAGCAAATATGCCACCGCTGCAAGGGGAGAGGGGTATCTCGCTCGTTTGCTAAGAAAACGGCATTTTGTGCCACTATCCCGACAGCATCGCGATGAATCGGTGCGCAGAGCCAGCTCCGCTCGGGAAATACGCATTTGGGGTGAAACTCAGCCATTGGACAAGGCTTCCGTCAGAGTCCTTCCAGTTTAATTAGATAGTGGCGCTGAAGCGAGTCCACGGGGTGTAATTCGTCTGGGGAGGAGAGAAGCCACTTTCTCTTTCCCAATACTATATTGTGTAATAGCTGCATTTTTTTCTTCTGACTCCGGGGCCATGAACGGGTGCCAAGCAGAAGAGGAATTTCGATGCTCCGATAAGATGTTTACATCAGCCTAAACATCACTGGCGCGTTTGACATATTAAGTAATCTCTGGTCGTCCCAGTTGCCCGGACAGGGAATGCTGCTGGGCAAAGATTCGGCCATCAAAGTCCTTCGGCCCCGGTTTGTTGCTGAGGATGTTGGGTTCAAACCCTTCCAACCAGCACGGGCAGGAATTTGGTTCAAATCCTGCCAACCAGCAAAGGCAGGAGTTTTGCAGCGATGCGAGGGTGGGTTTGCACCAGGGAGATGTCGTGCATGAAGCGGTTCCTGCCCGGGGGCAGCGAGGGCAGGGTTAATGCTTTGGGAATATGCAAGAGCACTCACCCGGACGCGTGAGGTTTACCCGAGGGGTCTCTGGGCGCAAAGGGTTCATGGCAGGTGAAATGCGGCGACTAGAGAAGGGGATGAAGGGCTTGTCCTGCCCGTCCTTCCCGCCGGCACCAGTTGTAAAGGCTTCACATGCAGAAAAGGCAGCACTTAGTCCATCGACCCAGGTGGCTGCCTGAGTTGGTCTGGGTGTGGTAGGCTTCAGAAATGAGGTTGGTTTCTTCTTTCCTAAAAAACCAAAACAAAACAAAACAAACAAACAAACAAACAAACAAACAAAAAAAAAAAAAAACAACAAAAAAACCCAAAGAGCCTGATGGCAAAGATTTCACCCAGGCTTTGCCTGCCCCTCTTTCTCCTGGCAGAACCACGTCCTGACCCTGATGTCGATGGCGGCTCGCATCTACAAGCACCCCAGCCTGAAGAACTCCATCAACCTGGTGGTGGTGAAGGTGCTGGTGGTGGACGAGGCGGCAGCGGGGCCGGAGGTGTCTGACAACGGCGGGCTCACCCTGCGCAACTTCTGTAGCTGGCAGCAAAAGTTCAACCCCCCAAGCGACCGGCACCCAGAGCACTATGACACTGCCATCCTGCTGACAAGACAGGTCTGAAGGATCCCTTTGGGGGTGCTCCGAGGCGGGGGGGGGGGGGCAGAAAAAAGGGGTTGGGGCATCCCTGGAGGGAGAGGAGGAATCCCCCCCACCATGCAGGGAACGCAGCTTGCAGCAAAGCAATTGGGAGAGGGTTGGGGGGGTTGCGTTTTGGGGGGTGCAGAGCACCAGCGGGTTGCCCAGCTCTGCTCAGAGATGTTGGGGCTGCTGAACGCCGGGACCCCTTCTGCCTCCCCCCCTCCTCGACACCCCTCGCAAACAGGACTTCTGCGGACACCAAAGCTGCGACACGCTGGGAGTGGCGGACATCGGCACCATGTGCGACCGCAACAAAAGCTGCTCGGTGATTGAGGACGAGGGCCTGCAGGCAGCCTACACCCTGGCTCACGAACTGGGTAACGCAGCCCTTCCCGAGGGAGTTTCTGCTTTTTCAGCCCAGCACGGCCAGCCCCGCTGCTGGGAGGGGGATGTAGCACAGCCCAGGACCAGCATCTCCCCGCTGGGTACCACCCGCCAAGCCTTGGGCAGTACTGGGGAGCTTCTGGCACAGGCAGAAGATGCTCTGTACCGGCAAAAGTGCTTAGAAGTGCCTGAACCGGTGTACATCAGTGCGTTTGCTTGATGTGATGAGCTAAGACACGGGGCCAAGCGCTCCTCCCCTTTGGTTTGTCACTCCCAGAGATGCGTTGACTAATTCGGGCTGCTTTGCCCTGGGGACAGCGGGCTGTACCTTTGAGGCAAGGTGCAAGCAGGCACCGTTTTGTTTATCACTTCCAACTGATCGAAGCAAATAGCTTTTGCAGCAGTAGGAAGTCCTCGGTAACTTCTGGGTGCTCCTTGCTGCCCATGCATCATCTGGGGCTGGGCGGCTGTGGCTCACCGGTGCTCTCTGCTCCTCAGGGCACGTGCTCAGCATGCCCCACGATGACTCCAAGACCTGTGAGCGGCTCTTCGGACCCCTCGGCAAGCACCATATGATGGCCCCGCTCTTCATCCACTTGAACAAGACCCAACCCTGGTCTCCTTGCAGCGCCATGTACCTCACCGAGTTTCTGGATGGAGGGCACGGTAAGGCTCGGTTCAGCAGCCTCTTCACTCAAGACAACCTTTTTCCTTAATTGCTCAGGCTCTTCGCAACGCCTGGCGGGGTGTGTGGGAGGAAGGGGGGAGTCAAAACACACTGCAGGCAGAGATTTGGGGAGTTAAAGCCGTGATGCACCTCCAGCCTAATTCTTGTGCCTTGCCCCCTGCTTGGTGCAACCCATGGTGTCAAGCCCTGATGCGTCTCCAGCCTAATTCTTGCACCTTGCCCAGGCGACTGCTTGCTCGACGCCCCAGCCAACCCCCTCTCCCTGCCTGCCGAGCTGCCCGGCCGAGGAGCCCTGTACAGCCTGGACCAGCAATGCCAGCAGATCTTCGGGAAGGACTTCCAGCACTGCCCCAACACCACGGAGGAGGACATCTGCGCCCAGCTCTGGTGCCGGACGGGCGGCGGGGAGCCCCTTTGCCACACCAAGAACGGCAGCTTGCCGTGGGCTGACGGCACCCCCTGCAAAGCCAGCGGGCTGTGCTGGGACGGCCGCTGCGTGCCCCAGGATGCCCTGAAGCCCCAGGTAATGGAGGGGGTTGGGACTGGGGCTTGACCCTTTGGGATTCCCAAACACCTGGCCCCGTTCCTGCCACCTCCCGGACTAGCTTTGGATTTGCCTGATTTACTTTCTGGATATCTCTCTTTCAACAGCCCCTTTTATTAATCTTTATTACCAGCAAGCCCAGCTTGTAGCTAAACACTGCTGTGCCTTTTGCCAAGGCATGGGCTGGTCTGAACCAGAGCAAGCCGCCACAGTTCCGCAATTAAATCGTCACTTTTTGCCCTGCCGGGGGAATTAGCGGTGATTTCTGAGTCAGTCAGCAAAGTGCTTAAACCCGAGCTTAACTTTAAGCACATGAACAGACTGGTGGAAGTTGGTAATAACTCCATGTGAAGTCTGTGCTTAAGCACTTTGCTGGATCAGGGCCCTAGCTGGCGACACGGGGAGAGGAGCTGGGGGCAGATTTTGGTGTTGCCCCAGACCTTTGCTCACCCTGAGAGCGAGCAGCCGGGGACGGGCGGGCTCGGGGACGGATCTAGCAGCTTCTCGTGGCCTCTTGCAGCCGGCGGTGGACGGCGGCTGGGGCCCGTGGAGCCCCTGGGGCTCCTGCTCCCGGACCTGCGGCGGTGGGGTGCAGTTCTCCTTCCGCCACTGCGACAGCCCCAAGCCCCAGCACGGCGGCAGGTACTGCGAGGGCCAACGCGCCAAATACCAGTCCTGCCACACCGAGGAGTGCCCGCCGGATGGTAAGCCCAGCTCGGCAAAGCCAGCACAGCGAAAGGATGCAATTCCCAAACGCACGCGCTCACCTCCCCACCCCCCCCCCCCCCTTTCTCCAGAACCCCTCACCAGGGATTGCTCTGCTCTCCCTTGAATATTCGTATTTTTGAGGGGAGGGGGGGGAAATAACCTTCTGCTGGGGGTTGTGATCGCACAGAGGTGCGTGGCATCCCGCCTCTTCTTGCACGCTCGCCGCGTGCTCCCGCTATCCTCAGCTTGCAGCTCAGCGGCAGCCGAGGAGGAGAGCAATTCCTGCCGGTCTTCCCGCAGCTTCTGGGCCACGTTTCGCCTTTTCTTCCAGGAAAAAGCTTTCGGGAGCAGCAGTGTGAGAAGTACAACAGCTATAACTTCACGGATCTGGAAGGGAATCGTCTGGAGTGGGTTCCCAAGTATGCGGGAGTGTCGCCCCGAGACCGATGCAAGCTGTTCTGCCGAGCCAGAGGGAGAAGTGAATTTAAAGTCTTTGAGGCCAAAGTACGATACCTAATGATGATAATTACTATCACCCCTCGTTACCCTATCTCACATGAAACGCACGCACACAGCCAGGGCCTAATTTCTCCTCCACATCCCACCTCTCCTAGGTGATCGATGGGACGCTGTGCGGACCGGAGACCCTCTCCATCTGCGTTCACGGGCAGTGCATCAAGGCTGGCTGTGATCACGTAGTTGGGTCCTCCAAGAAGCTGGACAAGTGCGGGGTGTGCGGCGGCAACGGCTCGACTTGCAGGAAAATATCTGGCTCGCTCAACCGATCCAAGTGAGGGGAGAAGGAGTCTGCAGAGACGGGCTGGGGGGAGAAAAACCAGCCTCTGAAAAACCAGCCTCCAATCTCATCATTCTCCTTTCTTCTTTTTTTTTTTTTTTTTAATTGCAAAAGTGCTAGGCTAAGAAATATTAGGATTCTTCCTAGATCATGTAAAGCCAGTTTACTTTCAATACTGAAAGCACTGCACCTAGCTGCAGACCTTGTTTGCAGCAGCCTGACTCGAGGAGTGCTTGACTTCCCCTCCGTGCCATCAACCTGGGCTTGCAGCCATGCAAACACCCTCAGCCGGGTGGCCTTGCAACAGCCTGGTCTCCTTCCCAAACTCCAGAGCTTACGCTAAATTTATGCCGGGGCAGCATTATGCAAGCCAAGCAGAGTTTGTTTCCTAAAATAATAGCTGGTGCTGACACCGGCGACGGGCTCAGTACGCCGCTGCAAGTAAATCTGCTGCCCCGAGGAGTTTACAATATGCATCTCGCCCCAAGGCGGCGAGCGGGACACATATTTTGAGGGCTGATGTGGGATATAAATAATTCAATAACTTTTCCTTGGGCTTGGGAGTGAATTTCAGTCCTGGGACACGGGCATCAAACAGCCGCTCCCTTCACCCAAGGTCTCCATTGCTTTGCCAAAGAGCTGAATTTAAGGCTTTTGTTGAAAAGATCATAACAAAAGCCCAACGCGTCCAATTCCATGCGGTGAGGTGACTCACGCAGTCAAATTAGATTTCCTAAATGGTTTCCTTCCAGGGAGCCAGCTGAAGTGGGGCTTCCACTCTCCTATGAATTGTTTGTGGTTGACTAAAGAGAGATTAGCGTGGTAGCTACAGCCAAGAAGAGATCCCATTAAGATCAGGGTTAGGGAGGCCAGGGTGACTGAGAGCAGAGTTTGACCCGAAGGCTTTGTTCCAAAATACTCTCAACCTAATTACCGACCACAGCATCAACCGTGGGGATGCGTGGAAAATGATCCTGCCGGCCCCACGGCATGAGTCACGCCAGGGTGGCATTTTGTTATAGCGGCAAGTGATTACCGTAGCACCGGGTGCCGAGGGCTGGAGTACCGGAGCCCTCCCAGTGCTGTTCTGGGAGCTGTGGTGCTCTGGGGATGGGATCTGGCTGGCTTTGCCGGGAAACCCTTCCTCGGCGTGGGAATGTGTTCTGTGCCCTCCTGCTCTCCTGTGGCGTGGCGGTGGCTGCGAAACCCTGCCAAAAATGAGCCCAGGGTGCAGAGACGCCCAGCCATGGATAAGGGATGGTTTCGCTGCTGGAGTACTTGCTGTCTTCTAGGAAAGGCCTCTGAGTTAATATCAAATCATCTACAATATGAGATGTTTGTTGGGTTAACTGTTTAACTGCTGATCTGGTTTTAGCAGCAACATCTGGCCCGTGTACATGTCCTCTGTGTGTACAATGCCAGCAGTGCCCTGACTCCCTCCTGTTCTGCTGTTCTACACCTAGCTCGGGCTGATGCTGTTTTTCAGCATCACTGGGCAGAGCCAGGATTTTAATCCCAAACACTTCACCCATTTCAAAAGAAAGGGAGGGAAGGGAATTTCCCATCGAGGCTGTTAACCGTGGGGCTGTTCGTTTGATTGCGTCGCTCATTTTTGCGTGTAATTCAGCAAGATCTCCCAGCTGAGCGCACGCATCTGGCACGACTGCAATGTTTCCAGCTCCTGAGCGCTCTGGGTTACAGAGGAGCAGCATCAGAGCCACAATCCTACTCGCCAAGTGCTATCCTCTGCATGGGTCTCCTCTTAAGTTCAGGAAAATAACCGTGTCCCTTTGCCCCGTGCAGATACGGCTACAACGACATCGTCACCATCCCCGCCGGAGCAACCAACATCGACATCAAACAGCGCAGCCACCGAGGGGTCCGTCACGACGGGAATTACCTGGCCCTGAGGACCCTCGAGGGCAAGTACCTGCTGAATGGAGACTTTGCCATCTCGGCCATGGAGCAGGACATCCTCATTAAGGGGACCATCCTGAAATACAGCGGCTCCATGACGACCTTGGAGAGGCTGCAGAGCTTCCGACAGCTCCCGGAGCCTCTGACCGTCCAGCTGCTGACCATCGCCAGCGAGATCTTCCCACCAAAAGTCAAGTACACCTTCTTCATCCCCAAGGACGTCCCTTTCAGCAAGCAGAAAGGCAAAGAGAAGAAGTCGGCCAACGTCATCCGACCGATGCTGACCTCCCAGTGGGTCCTGGGCGACTGGTCTGAGTGCTCCAAGACATGTGGCTCTGGCTGGCAGAGGCGGACGGTGGATTGCCGGGACGTGGAGGGTCAAACCTCCTCTACCTGCGACAGAGCCCTCAAGCCTGAGGACATCAAGCCCTGCGGAGACATCCCCTGCCCTCTCTGGCGCCTGGGTCCCTGGTCTCCCTGCTCCCAAACTTGCGGCGAGGGCGTGCGGACGCGCAACGCCTCTTGCATCGATTACGCCGGTGAAATCACCGCCCCGGAGAAATGCAGCTCGCCGGGGCCGCCGCCGGCCACCGCCGCCTGCGTGCTGCGGCAGTGCTGAGCCGCGCCGGGACGGGCTCGGCGGCCACGCGCCGCGACGGCGAGGATGCCGCGGGCTCGCTCGCCGGACGAATAACCACTCTCCAGCGGTTCATCCCCACCCCATCGACGTCTACCTCAGAGGGGGGAATAACGGCGGCAAAACGGGGAGGAATCACTTCTTTTCCTTTCTTTCTTTCTTTCTTTCTTCTTCTCTTCCTGGCTGGCTGCTCGCAGGCAAGTTGGAATTTAAGGGGAAAAGCTAGCATATCTGTAGGGTGTTTCCAACGCGCTGTCGTCAAAGGTGGTTGCAGACTCCGTTTGTAAGGTTCGTTGGGGTTTGTTGCTGGAAAAAAATGCGGAGCCTGGTTTTGCCATCGCCCCGGCCCAGCTGCAGGTCAAGGAGGTCCAGGGTGGGGGGCTTTGGTGATAAAATCGGGATCCCTTTGCAAAAGGCTTGGATCGCGTTGCCGTCCCCTCCCTGCAGCGGCGTGGGTGTCCTTGAGCACGAGGAGTGTTTTATCAGCTGTGGGTTTAGCTTGGGAGATAACTCGCTCGTTTGGCTGGGAGTGGGAACAAGCCGAGGGCTGGATCCTGGCAAACATTAGGCAGGAGGACAGGCAAGATGGTTGCAGTGGTTTCGGCTGGATTTATAATCTACGAAGCGACAAACCTCTGCCTCCAAACACCCCCAACATCTGCAGAGTCATTCCTAGAGCAGCAACCCCTTGCCTCTATCTCCCCAGCTATAAAACCAAGGCTTAATTACACCTGATCTGGCTTGCAGGGCTGCCGTGAGGGTTGTTAATTACTAATTCTGCAGTGCTTGGACTGTGAAATGCCTATTGCAATACCCCGTCCCCACTCTGGAGCGGACACTTGGGTGTGCCAGCCTTTCCTCTCCCGTCCTTGGCTTTCAGTCCCCTGCATGCTCGTTTTCTCAGCTCTGCTTGAATTTTGGAGATAATTTGCTAACCTGGCTTGCAGCAGGGATGAGCCCAGGGTCTGCAGATGCTGAGCCTCTCCCAAGCCCGCCGTGGTGATCAGAGCTGCCCTTCACCTCTGCTTTCCCTGGACACGTGAAGATGCTCAGATCCGGTGCTGGGCTTCAGCCTTGCTTGAGCAATTCTTGGTCTAAAACCGAGCCTGGCAAGGCTGGAGCTCTTCTTTCCCAGGGAGGAAGAGCCAGGCCCCCTCTCCCCAGCCCGGCCGCTGTTTGGCCTCAGCACAGCTGGCTGCTCAGTCCCTGAACTTTCCCCCTTTCGAAGCGATCGCCGTCCGTGTGCTGGCAGCAGCCGGTGCCTGGGGAGAGCGGGGATGGAATGTGGAAAGGTTTTGCCATCACTGGATGAGTGATTCGGTATCTCCGGGCTCCTCTCTCAATGCCCCTCGCTGCTCACCTGCTGATGCCCGTACTCTGCCTTGGTTCCCCCTTTGGCATCAAAACATTGAATATCCTGTTGGAACAGCCTTTTTTCTCATAGAAGGGGAGAAGGGCTGGAGGAGGAGAACTTAAATTTGTGATGTCTGAGCTTCCCCTTTTGCAATTGGGGAGTGAATCCTTTTTCTTGTCTCTTTTGCCTGAGCTAAGCTCATGTGAGACCCTTTTCTCACTGGCCAGACAGGTTTGGGATGGGACTGTGGGGTGAGCTACTCCCACAAAGCCACGCCAGAAACCCTACCATTCATTTGAAAACCCGAGATATTCAGCTTTTATCTCCCGTAGGCGATTCCTATTAAAACCAAGGGGCTGCAGCCAAGGACTGAGGGTATGGAGGGCTTGGCTCCTTTTTTTTCAGGAAAGAAAAAAAAAAAAATAAAGGCCAGCTGCAGAGTTTGGATGCAGAGCTGTTTGTTCAGACCTACCTTCGGGCAATGTTCTGCGTCTGCTAATTAATCTCCAGGAATTTAAGCCCTCTCTCGCTCTACCAAATAGCTGGATGCTAAAGTCATGTAGCCTTGCAGGGTTATTTTCTTTTTCCCCTTTGAGTCTGCGAGGGTTTTAACTCAAAGGCCAGCGTTTGTTTCCTCTCCAGCATCATAACCAGCATTTAGGATGGGTCAGAAATTTCAGTCTGAGACGGTGCCAAGGAAAACGTCTGTATTTATCACACAGGAGTCGTGCACGCCAAGGGTCTCTTCCAGTTCTTTATATTCACTGCGCGGTCGCTTAGCTGGAGCTTCCTAGAGGCAGAAACTCCCTAGATGCAAAAACTCCCTGCTGCGGGCAAATCCTGCTGCTTTTCCGGCAAAGAGGAGGATGGGGACCCCGCTGGGAGCGGGGGGACCGCAGGCGGTGACGCTCGGTTGAGGTGTGGGATTGAGGTTGAGGATTCCTGCCCTAGCCTTCCCGTAGAAAAACGTAGCCTTTACGCTGATTTAAGTCAAAGAGGTTATATATTAGGATATATATATGTATATACATGTTTCCCTTCAGTGAAGGATTGTAGCAATGTACTGAGCCTCTTGTGTTAGGTATTTATTATAAATTCTGTTTGGTTTTGTACAGTAGCTGTCTGGAAAGGAGAGGAAAAAAAAAAAAAAAAAGAGGAAAAAAAGAGATTAAAAAAAAAGACTGTCTGTGTTTTAACATGCTGCTCTCACATCCCCACCCCAAAACCTGCAGCGGGGTTGGAGAGGGGATGACTCTGCTCATCGTTTAACCACTTCAGTATATGGCTGGTGTCTCCCTCCTCCCTGGTGCCCTCAAATCAGGGTGCCAGCTGAGCTGTGTAAGCATAACAAATCCAACCCAGATTAAGTTTTGGATTTTCATTTTAAGGGGGGAAAATATAATTTTCTGGTTTTAAGACTTTTGTTTGTATTTGTTTTTAACTTTGAAAACAGTCTGTGACTCTGCCTTTACCCCTTCAATAAAGGATTTCCTGCCTCTTACCTTTCTGTTTTTGCCTCTATTTGCGCTTTTCTCAGGATGTGGGGTTTTCTTCATCTCCATCCCAAGAGCAATACTTTAAATCTGCCTTTTCTATAGCATATTCAGCTATAAATAAATGGTTAATTCAGTTTTAAGATGCGAAACCAAAACATTACATGGCAGAGTAGACAAAAGCCAGGGAGAAAAGATTATTCCCCAAAAGTTTTGAATCATCTCTGTTTTGCAGACTGCTTATGAGCAGCTAACTCCTCTCTCTATATATACATATATATAGATAATTCTGCTACTTACTCGGAGGATGTACAGCCTTAACAGAGCTAAAATAGAGGGGATGCTGCCTCCTTCACTTAACTATATAATAACCATAGATAGTAGGAACTTGATGCTGTCTCACTAGGTGTGGTGTTGTCCTGTGAAGCATAGGATCGCTGGAATTTGGTATATGGCAACTCAGATTTTGGAGTTATCTTACTGGAATAAGCATGGGCTCATTACAAAGTAATTTGGATATCTTTGCTTGGGTCAGATGGGCTCTGCTGCTAGGTGAAAACACAGCCTGACCTTGAATAGTGGCTGTGATTTATTTTCTGTATATCAGTGATTTCCATCCACTGATGGAGCTAGAAAATGATGCTGCCGTGGCCAGGCAGAGGCTGCCTATATTTAACTCCACGGAAGGGCAAGGGAAAGGGTTAACCCACTGCTGTGGGACGTGTCACGACGTTAATGGGCACAGCAACACATGCCACCCTATTTATAACCAGGTGTGACATTCATTTTAGATGACTTCCCTTGGCACCCGTGCAGCCGGGTACTGGATTTCGGTTCATTAAGGCGGCAGGCTGCCTTGGCTTTTCCCCCACCTTTCTTTTTTGTTGTTTTGTTGCCATTGCTGGGTTTGAGTTGAATAGTTGGAATTTCAAACAATGCCAAAGGCTTTGGGATATTGCTGGGTAGGAAAAAAGCCCTTAATTAATCATAGCAGCGTAACCATCATAATTTAACTTCAAAAAAAGAATAGTGGAATAACAAAATAAACCTTCTGGGAGCTTCTCTGTCACCGTATCCATGATGATACTCCAAAGACAACAGGGACTGGCGGGCAGAGAGATGCATTTCTGTGTAGTCCCATCAGGGGGGAATTATTAGGGGCAACCCATGGCTGGACCCCCGCACACCATGCTGCAAGTAGTGCTGCTCCCCAGTCAGGGGTAATTATATTTTATCAGCATATTTCCTCTTCTAAGGCACTTTCAGAGGCTGTAGGATGCCACAGGCAGCTCCCCCATGCATGAGCAGCACGAGGTACGTGCTGAGATGGAGGTTTTTCTCCTTTGTTCCAAAACATCTTCCCTCCAAGGGCTGGGCTCTCCTGATCTCCAGCCCCAGTTATTGCTGGACAGTTGCTCCCCCTTGTTGCTGTACTAATACTGTTCTTCAGTTTAACAGCTTTCCTCTCCCTTTGGCTTATACCTCCCCTCCCATGTGTTTGTAAGCAGGAGTTGTACCCTCTTTCAGCCTTATCTTGATAAACTTTGCAAGCCAGGCTCTGTAGGCTCAGCTCATAAAATACTCTCCTCAGCTCTGGGCTGAATTTATTATCCCTGGACAGAAGTGACCCAGCAAGGTCACACCAGCACCTGGTGCTCCAGCCATGAATCCCTCCTTATTCCTGATGGAAACATCCTTCCTGACATGTCCTAGGGCCATTATGTCCCTTTTCTGCTGTTACTCTCTGCTCAGCTCGTCCATCCCGGTCTTACGACCCTTCTGCTCTTCTAGATCTCTCTTTCTCCACACAGATACCTGTTAAACCCATCCTCAGCTGCCCAAGCAGGCGGTCTGGTTCCCAGAGCTTCTGGGCAACGGCATTTCAGAGGGGCTTTTGCAATTCAGAGCATCTTAGATAACAGGGTCCTTTCCTAAACTGCCCGCTACAACCTCCTCTCCTGCCAACCAGGATGCTTTAACCCCAGGACTGCGCTTGCTGAGGACCTGGCAAAGCGTTCTCAGGTCTGGAGAGAGGACATAAACCCCAAATCCTCCTGATGCCAGGAGGAAAATCAAGGGTTGCCAAAGAGACAAGTCAGCAGGATTGAACAAAAGCAAATTAACTGAGCCCTGGAGACCGCAACGGGCAGGAGGATGGAGACAAGACCGCTCCTGCACACCGGTGGTGAATTAAGGAGTAGGCAGGGAATCCTCGAGGGTGGGAGCAAAGAGGTTTTTTCCTCTGGAGGTGCTGAGATCAGGGAGGAGAGAGGAAGGCTGTGCAGGGAAGGTATCATTTGCTTTCAGTGCTATGGATGCACGCTGCCTGGAGTGGGAAAGCAGGCTCCTAGCAGCACGGGAGCTGCTCCGGGAGCTGCTGAAGCGAAGGGAAATGGATCCCACAGGCTGCAAAAAAAGAGTAAACCAGGCTCCAGCCAAGAATTGCATGTTTTCGTTGCTTGAATACGAGGGTAAGCAAGAGAGAGATTCAAGGATTAAAGCGAGGGGGCAGACACCAGGGATGGACGGGAGAGATAGCTGGGAGGCTACGGGTCACCCTTTGAAAGCTTTGTCCTCATTTTCCCACCAGTGTTTTATACTCATCAAATTCCAGGCAGTTCAGCCGAGGAACTCCTGAGGTCCCTATGTGTCTCTGTAAATGAGCAGTAGATGTGCAAACCAGATTTACCACTGAATTACTCAGGGTTTATACCAGTGTTACTCCATCTATGTCCAAGAATCAAGCCCACAGTGTTGTAAAATGTGCGTAAGAGTAAATCCTCTTACACCGGGAGTGGGTATTTTGGCAATTCATTGCAACACCTCTCGCTGAGAAACTGCAACTCCGCAGAAAAAGCAAACAGTAATAAAGGATGACCCAGTAGCTTAGGAAACCCGAGCAGGTGTAAATCAATATGGCTCCCTCCCTGATTTACTCCAGCAAATGCCGTGGCTCTGGGAATCACTGGAGGACCTCTTCAGGTATTGAGGGCTAATAAATTGTTATTAATAAAATAGACTCTTCTGCCAGAGTGAGAAGAAATTCCTGTCGGAGTCAGGCTGGGGAGGCCGATGTGCTCCTCCACGGTGATGATGTGCAGAGCGCTCTGTATCCCAAATCTACTGGCTTCCCCCACCTCAACGCCGCTGTTAGTTGGAGACCCAACAAGCCACACAGAGATAGAAGCTGGGAACTGGGTGCAGGAGGTTGTAAGGAAAAGAGAGAAAGAGGAAGAAATTAAATAAAGAATCTGCTTTTTTTTTGTTTGGTTGTTTGTTTTTTTTTTTTGGTTTTTTTTTTTGTTTTTTTGTTTTTTTCAGCTCCCTGCCTTGCAAACGCGGCCGTCTGCCAGGCAGCTTACTTTCCTGTGGATTCAGAGGCAAATCCAACCTCCGAGCATCCCGTGCTCAGCTCTGCCCCGGGGGGAAGCCTGGGCACCCCAGCCGGGTACCCGCAGCCCTATCGCCCGCCTGACACCAGGGCTGTGCTTTATTCTCAGGACTGTTTATGTGGAATTGATTAATTCCTTAAAAAGAAAGTCAGCGTGGTGTTTTGTTGTGCAGTTTCATGGCTTATTTCCAGGCCGCACGTAGCAGGTTTATATTTAAATGCTTTATTTGGAGGATTTTGTTATTTTGCTGAAGCATGGCGAGGACATAGACCATGCTGAATTTTACTGTTTTCCAGATATGAATTTGGGTAGTTTGGACCCTATTTCCCTCCCGTACAAAGCCCATGACCTGCTCAGGGCAAGTCTCAAGCAGAATATGGCTGTTTGTTGACTAAAATCACTTGATCTACAACACTTTTACCATCAAACACCCCCGGCTCCACGCTTTTCAGAGCAGCATTTTGAAGAGGAGAGATGGCAGCCTGATATTTTTATTTTTTTTATTTTTATTAATCCTCTGTGATTCAGGAGTTACCATGGATAGCCAGGAGCAGATTCTTCCTTGCAAATTATGTCTTACCAAAGCAGAAGCACGTGCAACCTGCTGCAATTGGCGCTATTTTGCTCCCGCTTTGCACAGGAGTAGATTGCAAGGGGAAGCAGCCGTGCATCAGGGTTGCAATGCAGCTCCCCTCAAATATAAAGCAGATATAAGAGGAAAGGAATTAAGCAGGAGAGAGTCCAACCCTGGAGATTGCTCCAGGTTCTGGTTCTCTCCCCAGTTTTCCAAAGAATCGTTTAAAATGGTCCCAGGGATTTTATGACAGAGCAGGGAGTTTGGCCTTTTTTTTTTTTAATTTATTTTTTAATTTTTCCGCCGACGGAGCAGTGTGGCGTTTTCCAGGGGCCCGTTTTAAATTTTTTACTGCTGATTAACATTTTTGGACCGCGGCCTCTCAATCTGTTTCCTGCTTCAATTTACTGAGTGCTCATCGTGAAAAAAAAAAAAAAAAAGCCTAAAAAAAACCCCACACACAGAGAAAAAAAAAAAAAACAAACAAAAAACCACCATAAAACAAACCATGGAGGAAATGGTTGCGTTAATCATGTTAAATTAAGCTATGCTTACCCCGGGTTGGCGCAGATTTGGCCCAAATTATCAGGGTGGATTAATTAGAGACCTGATAACTCTATGTTTGATCAGGATGGATGCAAACTGGAGGGTGGTTTGCACGGTTTTGGGCGGCGGGGGGTGGGGTGGGGGGGTGCACTGGGGCACCCTGTGCTCATGGAGGTGGGGGGGTAATGCGGGGTGCTGGCCCTGGGGGTGCACGCACTGGAGCACCCCGTGTTTGGGGGGGGGGGGGGATGCACAGCCCTGGGGGTGCACGCACTGGAGCACCCCGTGTTTTGGGGGGGGGGGGGGGGATGCACAGCCCTGGGGGTGCACGCACTGGAGCCCGTGTTTGGGGGGGGGGGGGGGGGGATGCACAGCCCTGGGGGTGCACGCACCGGAGCACCCCGTGTTTCGGGGGGGGGGGGGGGATGCACAGCCCTGGGGGTGCACGCACCGGAGCACCCCGTGTTTCGGGGCGGGGGGGGATGCACAGCCCTGGGGGTGCACGCACCGGAGCACCCTGTGTTTCGGGGGGGGGATGCACAGCCCTGGGGGTGCACGCCCTGGAGCACCCCGTGTTTGGGGGGGGGGATGCACAGCCCTGGGGGTCCACGCACCGGAGCACCCCGTGTTTGCGGGGGGCGGGATGCACAGCCCTGGGGGTGCACGCACCGGAGCACCCCGTGTTTGGGGGCGGGGGATGCACGCCCCTGGAGGTGCATGCACCGGAGCACCCCGGTCCCGGGACACCCCCCCCGCCCGGGGATGGTGGGGTACGGGGAGGGGGTGTGTGGGTGGAACCATGAACACACCGGAACGCCCCATCCCCAGCGCTGCCCGCCGCGGGGTGCCCGTCCCGGCCGGTCCCGCCGCTCCGCACTGCGCATGCGTGCCGCTGGCTCTCCCCCGTCCCCCCCCCCCCCCTCCTCCCCGCCGCCGCCGCCGCCGCCGCGGTGCACTCTGGGACACAAACAAAGTGCCCGGGCCGGGCGGCGCGGCGGGAGCTCGGACGCCCGGGAACCCCCCCCCCTTCCCCCTCACCCCCCCCCTTCCTTCCCCTTCCTCCTCCTCTTCCTCCTCCTCCTTCTCCCCTCCCGGTGGCCAGCGCGTCGTGCACCCCCCCCCCTCCCCCCCCCCCGCACACCTTTCGCGGGGGGGTCGCGCGCGCGGTGCCCCCCACACCCCCCCCCTCCGCTCGCTGCCTGAGGGGGAGGCGGCGGCGGCGGCGGCTTCTTCTTCTTCCTCCTCCTCCTCCTCCTCCTCCTCCTCCTCCTCCACCGTCATGCCCCGACGCGGCCCCAGATAGGGGGCTCGGCCTCCCGCGCACGCCGGGCCTCAGCCGGCCCTCACCGACCGCAGGTAACCGGGGAGCGCGGCCGGGCCTGCTCCGGGGGGGGGGGGGGGGGGGGGGGTGAGGGGAGAGCGGCCGTTGGTTCCCCCTCAGGGGCGGAAGGGACGGCGCCCACCCCGAGGGGGGGGGGGGCGGCTCAGCTGCACCCCCCTGGGTCCGTCCCCCTCTTTCCCCCGCCTCTCGCCGCTATGTGCACGCGTGTTTCCCGTGGGGGGGCAGGTGTCTGAGCGTCCCCGGGGCTGCCCGCCTGCGGCTGGTTCCCCCCCCTTGGGTGGGGAAGGGGAAAAGAGGAGGAGGAGGAGGAAGGGGGGTGGCATTGCGCGGTGTGCTTCCTCCCTCCCCCCGCTCCCACGAGGGACCGTGGCACCCCCCCGCGCCTCCCAAGCGGGTTTCCCGTGTGTATATATGTGTGTGTGGGGGGGTGTTTGTCCTCTCCGGGCAGCCCCCGGGGGGAGGTTAATCGTGCTGCCTGTTGTGCGAGGTGTTGACGCGCATCCCTGCGTTGCCCGTGGGTGCACACGCAAACGTGTAGTTTCGGGGGGTGTGTGTGGGGGAGTTGTGTTGTCTCCTGCATCCCAGCGGGATACCTCTGCCTCTCTTTTCCACCACAGGCTTATGGGAGGAAAAGAGAGATTCCCACTAGCTGTTAAGCAAAGCTTGCTGTCCCTTTGTTGTTGTTTTTGTTGTGTTGTTTTTTTTTTCCTCTGCAACACCCCCTTCTGCGTATTCTTCACTGCCCATCTGCCAGGGTCTGCTGCGCTGCCTCTGCTTGCACCCGTGTCCACACACAGTGAGGATATCGTAGTGCTCATCTGCCGAGATCTGTTGCATGTTTTCCTGCTCTCCCTCCATGTATTCGGGGTTATGTTCCTATACGCAAACATAAACATTGGCAGATGGTGGAGGGGGGGGTATAGTCTGCTTCTTGCTTGCCAAAAGCCTATTGCCTCCTTTCATACACACAGGACAAGGGTACCGCTGCCTTCCAAAATCTGCTGTACTTCTTTCCAGGCACAGGTGTGCTGGGGAATACCTCCATGCTTGACCACCACAGCTTGTTAAATACATACACCCCAGGAGGCTTCTTCCTGCCTGCAAAAAGCTGCAAAGTTTTTTGGCTTTGTTGTTTTTATCCACCGGAATAAACATGCAGAAATCTTCCATCAAAGGCTAAGGGGACGACTGCTCCAGCCCATCTCTTTGCGCTGCAGAGCTTCTTCTGCTCGCTGATGAGGGAGGCTCCGTTGTCTTCTACGTATACACACGCACACCGGGGTTATCCCACTGACCAAAAGCCTGCGCGCCCGGCGTTGTGCGTGTTTGCGCCCACCAGGAAAGGTGCAGGCAGCGTTTCACCCGTAGCCTTTGGGAGGCAGGCAGGCATTTCTCCTAAACGCTGCCAGGGAGAAGGTTTCCACTGTTTGTCCTTTCATGTCTTGCGTGTTCCCGCAGACACCCAGCAGCAGCTGTTTCGGTGCCTGCCCCCAGATCGGAGTACTTCCTTGCTACACGTGCCAGAGAGGTCACCCCTTCTTGCCCACTTCTTATCTCTTCTTGGCCGCGCTTCATGGCTGCCTGTTACTTCTTTCATGACTGAGACTTTCAACCCTTTTTCTTCCTGTGCCCTGCTGCTACTGCAGTGCAATACTGTCAGGTTAAGCCTACCTTGTTTTTTGCTTTGACTTTTGGTTTTTTCTTTGCTCAGCAGTCCACTGGAGTAAAAAGAAGTAGGCTGCATACTTCTAGATATCTGCAGATCCCAAGCTGGAAACCACAGATCTAAAATACATTGTTTCTCATTTTCAGTTATATACATAATTTTTCCAGCCCAGGATCTATTCTGTTATTTCTAGAAGTCTCCTGCTTTCATTATTTTCCTCACGTGAGGTCTTTGGTTTGCCACACCGATATGGGGAATTTCTCAGGTTTCCCAGTTACATGTTTGCCCCTGCTTTCTCTCTGTGCTTCTGCCTGACATGAGGCTTTTCCCCTTTTTAAATTGTTACTTCATTTATCCTTGGGATGTCTAGCACAGTTGGCTTTTATTTAGGTGGAGGTCACCCAGTTCACCTCCTGAGTTGATCCCTGGCATCTAGCTGCATGTTTTCATAGATGAGGTGACGTGTTGTTTGTCATGTGCGGGGCACGCCTGCGGCACCGCTCTGCGGACCCTGCAAGGTGACACTGAGTGGGAATGGCTTTTGTGCAGGCGGGTCACAGACTAGCATCTGGGAGTCTTTTAGGGTATTTTGAGTGCGAGGTGCTTTTCTTCTACCATTAAGGTCTCTTACTGCGGCTTGACGTCTATGTGTGACGCAGCTCCAAGGTGTGATGCACCTGGAGACCTTGCCTGGGTTTAAGTGCATCTATTTAAGGAGATGGAGCTGAACAAGTGTTAACCTGCTAGCTGAGACACAGCTCTACCGGTATAAATGCCTCCATTGATGTAAAACTGTTTATACCAGAAACCAGTTACAATGCTCTAAGTGTCTCTCCCTAGGGACTACTTCTATTTAAACAGCTGGTTTTAATCCGAAACTTTAATTGGTGTGAACACTCCAAGCAGTCCCTTTCCAGGGGAAGGGAATTTCCATCCCTACTTTAGTCTCCCCAGGTGGATGTTGCATGGATGCTGGCTTGTCAGGAGGGAGCATAGTGCTCGCTTTCCCACACAGAAGGTTTCGTGCTGGTTTTGTTTACAGGGTGAGAGAATTCCTCTTCTTGTGACTGTGAGGTTTAGAGGAGGGGAGTGTCCTTATGTATTTCTGTAATACGTAAGAGAAGTAGTCAGCAAGTGAAACTGAATCCTTGCCATGTTTGTTGCAACAGGAGGTTAATCATAAACTCTGGCAACTTTGAAAAGGGGTGGTTTCGTTCTGTGGTGCCTGTAGCAAATGTGTGCTGTTAGGAGGGTCTGGTCAGCTGTTTGCTAAGAGGATCAAAAGCAAATAGAGCTTCCCCCCCCCATGTGAAGTTGAACAAGCGTCCAAGCGTTATTTTTGGTTGTATCCCGTGACTTGCTTGAAGGAGGCTTTTTATTTCTATGTCCTCCTTGTGAATGGATGTGTGATGCCTGTGCTAGGAGGTGAGTGGGGTTTGTGTGACTCGTTGCTGATGAGGAGAAGGTCTTGGGTACTTTGCTCTTGCATCGCTTGCTTCACATCCAGCGTTCGCTGTCATTGTCTGTTACATCTGGTAAACTTCTTTTTCAGTGGGCTGCAGGAATATTTGAGTGTATTCCTATGAGGAGATCTGGCAATACACGTAACTTCACTCTTTTTAGGCATTGTAATTCACTAGTTTAAGACGAAAGTCAAACTGTGAGAAAGCAGTGATGCTTTTGCTGGCACGTGACAAGGAAGGAGATGTCCCTTGACGTAGAAGGGATTGTCTGTTGACATTCTTCTATCTTGCCTGGTTGTAAGTAGGTTATCCCTGCTCAAATTATGCAACTGTGCAGACAGCCAGACTTCAGGAATTCCAAATACTTCAACGTGTCAAGTGCTGACTTCTAAATTAAATGCCATGGTTGCAGAGCGCGTTTGCAGTCTGTCACTTGAAATATGACATCAGTCTTGGAATCGCGTGTGGCTGAAAAGGGGCAGCAACTTAATTGCTTGTTTCTTTGAAAAAAAAGTGTTGTGTAAGAATGCAGGAACAAAACTGGGTGGGAGATGTGCCTCTACCTGTAATAGCGTTTCGATATGGAAGTAGGTGGTTAGCATTTCAGCAGTTATAGGCAGAAGAAAAAATCCTGAAAACATTGATTTATGTAAGTAGTTGAAACGCCTTACTCTGGCCACTGCTGTTGCCTCGGAAGATGCAGTTTCTAACATATAGATCTAATTAAATAATTGTGTACTTACTGCTAAGTAAACATAGGAGTCCATTACTCTTAACTTGCCTTGGAGATCAAATTGATTCTTCTAATGGTTTCGCTGGGTGAAAGCAAATGTCTAGTACTGTTTTGTACAAGGTGCCTAAATGAAATGGTGGTGGTAGGAAACGAACTGCAAACCTGATAAAATGGCATTTGAGTGTACGGATGGCAAGAGAGGAATTGTAATCGCTCAGCATTTCATTTAATTCTTACATTCCATTTAATCAAGTTAAGGAAGTGACTTAAACTGTGCATTATTTGTAGATAGCGTGGTTTTAATATATTCCAATTTAGGGAAATAATTATTTCACATGAACAGGTTTATCAGAGTACGTGAATGATGGGATAATAAGGCTTGCAAAATGTATGTTGGGCTCAGCATGTGGTCTATGGCAGTGGCCAGAAGGAAATCATTAGGGGCACAGTGGAAGAACCTACACAGCCAGCGCGGTGCTCACGCCTTGGCGCATCTACCAGCGGCAAAGGGTTTGGAGGTGGCCCGAGCTAGAGGCTATGTGCTGACAGATGTGTTTCATAGTGCCTGTTGGACCTGTCGTCTGTGGAGCTGCCTAGGCCTTTTGAACGGTTCATACCTGTAGCTTCTACAGTATACTCTGCGATGAACTCCACCATTTGTGCAAAAATAATTCCTGGGTTTTGTGGTTCTTTTTTTCTTTTTTTTTTTTTTTTTTAAATCTGTTGAATGGTAATCTCATTGAGTGCCTCCTAGTTTTTGTAGCATGAGAAAGAAAAAAGAATCTTTTTCCAGTCACCACCTCATTTGCAATTTTATAGATCTCTGTGTTCTCAGTTTTCCCTCTTTGTGTTTTGGTTTTGTTGTGTTTTTTTTTTTTTTTTTTTGTTTGGTTGGGTTTTTTTCCAAGCCGTATTGTCCCAGTCTATTTAGTACATCTGTCTGTGGAGGCTGTTCTACATCACTTTTTTTTTTTCTTTGAGCTCTGCTATATTGTTTTGAGGTGATTTGACCACAACATTTGTTTGCTCGCTTTACCCAAGAAGACTGAATAAAGGCAGTTTTTTCAGAGCATTAAGAGATGCTTTCTAATAAAGGGACACTTTGTAGCTCATCTGTGGTAACATTATAAGCATTTACTGTGTGTAATGTTT